TATATTACAAAAGATATCTGACGAGCAGTGCTGGATGCTGCGAAGTGCATAATGTAGCAAAGAGGTGTACAATGGTAATAGTTGTACATTGGGAACAGCAATGTTTATGAATGTGGGTCCATATAAGATACGTACATAAATTGCATATACAAGCCTACTACAATGGAAGACACAACTCCATGGTTTAATTTCTCTCTCCAGACTTACTTCCATCCCATCCCTTCCCCAAGCTCTTCTCTTCTCTTTTCCCCTCTCACCTCCTCCTACAAGGACACGTGCATGACAAGTAAATGGTTTGCATAGGACAATTCAAAGTTATTATGCATGGATTGTATCTATTATTATTATTGGTATTTATATAGCGCCAGCATATTCTGTAGCTCTTTACAATATTATCAAAGGGGGAGATTTAACAATAAATGAGACAATTGAAGATTATGCTAGCTTCAGTGTACCGATAATCTTAATTTTAATAATGACAGGAGGCGAGTATTTTGCATAATCTTTCTTTACTAACTCCATAGCGGCAAGAAAAGAGTGACAAAACTGAGAACCAATCACAATGCAGTATAGAGTATAAGAGGTGTAACATATGACATCATTTCCTCTTAAAGCATGCGTCATCACAAGATCACAATGCAGAATAATAATAGAGATAACTCGTAAAGGTCCATGGTAAGATAATGGTAGAACAACATTTAAAACTGAACACGAAACAGGTAGACTCCAAGCGAAGACTTCTTGATGTCAAGTGATGATCTTCCATGACAAGACGATGATGACATCTTGAATGGAGTCTTTAGTTCCTTGAGGTATCTGGTTAAACTGAAACGAGAATATAAAGGGTATTAGATTCCAAAAATGGTTGTGTAAAAACAATGAAATGTCTATCCCTTACGATTAAATTAAAACCACCAATATTAAAACAGAACGAATACATTCCTCCCGTCTATCGGTGCTAACTAAAACATCCCACCCACATGGCATATCTGCATTAAGTGTATGAGTGACCCAAATTAGGCATTAGTACAATAATAGCAGACAAAAAGAGTTGGAAATATGCATGAAAACAGAGGGAGGGAAGAGTGAAAGAGCAGGGAGGGAAAATACTCGCCTCCTGTCATTATTAAAATTAAGATTATCGGTACACTGAAGCTAGCATAATCTTCAATTTTATCACATGACAGGAGGCTTCGTATTTTGCAATTTCAATGCTGGGAAAGCAGAGAAAAGGCCGGATCATCAAGAGGACGGAAGTAGAACGTCCTAAAGGTGGATTCTCTGGTCCAGTCCGCCGCTCGTAAGATGTCTGAAAGGGAAGCGCCTGCAGCATAAGCGGAAGAGGCCGCGACCCTGTGTACGGAATGTGCTCCAAAAGTTTGGTTAATGCCGGCAAGGGATATTAGCCATCTAACCCATCTGGCCAGCGTAGTAACCGAAACTGGACCGTAGGGGAGGACGTAAGAGATGAGAAGTTGATGAGTGGAAGATTGCCGCAACGTCGCGGGGGCTTCCACGTATTGACGGAGAGTAGAGACCACGCAAAGCTGAGGGTCAGAAGGGAAAAAAGGGTAGAAGACTGAGTGAGAGTTGGACTTAGTGCGTTGTGACAGCTGAAAGGTAACACCCGCCGGGCAGAAGGTAAATGCATCGGTGTTGAAGGCGCGTACGTCGGATATCCGTCGAAAGGAAACCAGACAGAGCAAGAAGGTGAATTTTGCGGTAAGTTGGTGGAGTGACAAATCCTTGTTAGGAGGCCAATTTCGTAAGAATTGTAGGACCACGCCAACGTCCCAAAGTCTTAAGTATTTGGGCTCCGGGGGGCGCAGAAGGCGCATGTCGTGGAGGAGTCTGCAGATGAGCGGATCCTTACCAACAGGTGTCCCCTGGGTCGGAGTATGGGCCACTGAGATGGCTGACAGTACCACGTTGATGGACCGGTATGACTTCCCAGCAGTGAACAGAGAGGTTAGGAAATTCATGATGGAGTGAGTAGGTGCAGTAAAGGGATTGAGGTCCCGTCCTTGTTCCTGGTGCCCATGAGTCCCATAGGAGGTCCTTAGTTTCCTGCGATAAGTCCTTGGTTCGCCAGGAACCCCGGAAAGAGTCCAGGCCACAAGGGAAAGGCGTTCCAGCATGACCAGCGGGTGAAGTAGACCCAACGGGTTTCTGAGGATGGTTGAAGCATCTGGTAGGAGGAGGGGATCCCTGATTGACATTTCCAGAAGGTCTGGGAACCATGGCTGGCTCTGCCAAAGAGGCGTGATGAGGATTATCCTCACTCTCTGTAGGCGGATCCGGTGAAGGACCCTCGTTATCACTGCGAAAGGTGGGAATGCGTAAGCACCGTATCGTGGCCATTGTTGTAGGAAAGCGTCCATTGCGAGGCTCTGCGAATGTCAGGATTACAGAATGATCCAGCACGTAGAACTGTGTAACACAGAGGACTGATAGGTAACGTATACCGGACCTTAGAATGGCCGGACTAACGTACCAAAGAATAGTCAGGAATAGCCAAGGTCAAGGGAAACAGAAAGAGACACAACGATAAGGAAAAGCCAGGAGTTAGGGATGCCAGAAAACAGGGAAGTCAAAAACAATGCCAAAGTCAAATAACCAGAATAACCAGAATCAATAACACGCTCTCGGACAACCACAAGGGAAACCACGACAGGGCACTGAGCAGGATGAGAACTGGGCCTAAATATCCCTCCTCTAGGTCTGATAGGCTGTAACTGACCTTTGACCCCAAAGGCAGTTACCAGATCTCATTTGCATAATTGCTGCTCAGCATTAACCCTTCTGTGGATTTGGTTGTTGCTCGGCACAGTTTTTCCTGTGTGGACAGTAAATGTCATTAACCACATTTTTGTAAGCTGATGAATACGTGACAGCGAATGGCGAAGGATCCGGCCAAGAGTTCCAGGCAATTGATGTGCATCGAGAGCTCTTCGAAAGTCCATGCTCCTCCTGCCGTCCAGCCCTACCAAAAACACCTCAGGTGTGAGAACCGCGGCAGACTTTCCGCATTGAAGTTTGCGCCTTGTTGAGGGACGTAAATATATTGACCCTTTTGTTCAATTCTTTAAGGAAGGCCTCTCCAAACAATTTACCCTGTGCCAAGGGGCCTAATTCTTTATCCCCCAGTTCGACAAGTTTTTCGTTGATACGGTAAAGTGCTGCTCGGCGCCTCTCTGAAGAGAGGGCTATGTTAGTGTTCCCTATGAAACAGAAACACCTCTGTGCCCATTCACGGGTATCTCGTGCCCACTCACGCACAGTATCTGGGGTAAAATCATCAGCCCTTTCATAGGCGTCATCCGCCATATCCATAATTCTAGCTAGCGGCCCAATGGCGTCTAGCAGTTTTTCCTGTGCTCCTTTAAAACCGCGCTCTATGCCCTTGCGCGGGTCCCGACCCCCTCGGAATATGAAAGTAGTGATGAGTGGGTCAAATTCGGGGGTGTGCGCCCCCTTGTCTGGTGGGCTAGGCCGAGGGCATTCTGATCTAATCTGTTTCCTTACTTCCTTGTCCAGAGATTTCCGGAGCCAGAAGTGCATAAACCTTGCCAAATGTTCGGGTGGTAACCATTCTTCCGAACGGGGATGATGGATGTTTCTCGGGTCAAACATGGGTTATCCATGGATGTAGCCATGGAGTTCTGGGGCTCACCCAGAATCTGTTCCCTTATGAAATAAGGGTCAGAGTTGGCCGTGGAATCCCTATCGGAGTCCTCCTGGTCAGAGACCGCCGCCTGCCATTCATCCAGCACAGCTAGTGCATGTGTGGGTTGTGCGTCTTCCTCACCTGAGGAAACCTGTGTGGGGTCGTGGGTAGTACGAGCCATGGCTTTTCTGCATTTAGCAGGGGCTTTTCCCTTAGATTTGCGTGGCTCAGCGTCCTCGCCCTTCCAATGGCGTTTAGGCTGATGTGAGCGTTCTCTGGAAGAGTCGGAGTCTTCGGAGTCCGCTCTATAGTGAACCCGTTTAGAGATGGGTTTAGGGGTGTCTAGATCTGTTGGGAGCGACTTAGAAGAGGCCTTTTCCATAGCTGCAGCCACAGCTGCTGTGATCATGGCCTGGAGGTCTGAGGAGGTTTGTAATTCCTCCATGATCTGGAATAGATATTCAGGGCTCACTCGATGGATTTGTGTGAGGGCACTTAGGCACAATTAGTGGAGAGGCCTGGGGATCAAGGGTGGTATGGTATCGGTAATGGTTAACCTGAGAGACTATGAGACCGGTAGGTCGTAGTAGGATGATGAGAGGGCTGTGTCACTGGGGCCCACCTAGGTAATCGTAATCCTGCATGAACAGGTCTGCTTAGCAGCACAAAATGGGGGCTCACCCCGGCCAGAATAAGGTACAGTCCAAGGAAGGAAGAGGGGAGAAAAAAAAAAACGCGGAAGAGGTATGGAGAGGGGGTATAGACGGCAGGGAGCCGTGAAATGCACCTGGGAAGCCAGAGGCAAAGTCCCAGGGGTAGAAAATGATGAGAAACCAAATTTTGTACTTAGCTTGCGATGGAGCAACAAAGAAAGAGGAAATTATGTCATATGTTACACCTCTTATTTTTAGTTTAGTTTTGTCACTCTTTTCTGTGCTGCTATGGAGTTAGTAAAGAAAGATTATGCAAAATACGAAGCCTCTTGTCGTGATAAAATTACAGAAACAAACGAGCTTACATTCTATAGGCTTAAGTCAGTTGATCCCAGTACACTGCCATACATTATATTATATTTTTGTATTTTACTAAACTTAGGACCATGCTGTCAACTCATAACAGTGCTGTGCAATGTAGCACTCCTCTAATTACGAGATTCCTGTACTATCTGATGCTAATGTTAAAAGAAATGTTTTATACCACGATATCTGGAAATGTTTTGTGTAGTCATGTATCCATGCAAACTCTTTCAATAAAAATCAGACATTGGGAAATAAAACGTTTTATTACTTATCTACATTCACTATATTTATACTTTATGTGTAACCCAGAGAACCCAAAATGTTGGACCCCCATGCTTAGTTTAAAGGGACATGTTACTACTCTCCATGCTGATGGGATGGGCAGACTGTCTGATGGAATGGGGGCGTGGTCAGCCTTCTGGCACTGTGTCTGGACAACAGGGAAGGAGTCAGCTTCAGCATCAAGCCCCGCCCATTCATAGTGTCAGCAACGTGACAGTGTGGGCGTGACTCCCGTGTGAGCGCGTGAGACCGTGGAGTGTCCGGCGGCACGCAGGATGAAGCCGTTGGTCGCGCGGTGCCCGGGGCTGCCCTGCTTGTTGCTGGTGTCCGCCATATTGTGCCAGGGGAGCACCGGGGGAGACCTGGCAGTCACCGTCACCCTGCCAGCGCAGACCGGTACCCTGATACCAAGGAGCAGCAGTCAGGTGCCCAGCTCCAGCCCGCTTACCCCCGGGGTGGACTCGGTGTTAGCGGCCGTGGCTCAGCGTCAGCACCTGCTGCTCCTCTTCCAGCGATACGGCGACAATAACCACAGCCTGAGCGTGCACGGCTTCCGCCAGCTGCTGAAGAGCCTGGGAGTGGAGAGGCTGAGGACGATAGGCCGGGAGACCGAGCATCACTCCCATCAAACCAAGCACCACCACGGCCGCCACCATCACCATGGTCACCACCCACATCACCCTCAGCCTACCCCTCACAGCAAGGCCGGGGGCCAGGCGTGTGCCGGGGAGGGCAGGGAGGCACGATACGTGACGTCACCGGCCCAGCCAGCCAATCACAGAGTGGTGAAGAGACACATTGCTGGAGACAAAGTTGGGAGCATCCTACCTGGTGCACAGCTAGAGGTGAGAGGGGCCCATCCTGGGCAATGACAGGGGGGCATCCTGTGTAATGATGAGGGGGAAGGCGGGGGGCATTCCACCTCAGTCAAAAGATATCATAAGTACTACATTCTTATGAAGTTTTCCTATACTTGACAAAAAGGCAGAGCTGTAAAGCCCTCAGTCATCATAGCAACAATTAAGAGTAAAAATGCTTTATCTAGAGCAGTGGTAGTCAACCTTTTTCTACCTACCGCCCACTAATGCATCTTTTTGGTTGAAAACATTTCTTTACCACCCACCAGTTTTTGCGCAAGTGCGGAATATTTTTTCGAAAGGCAGGTGTTTTTAAAAAACAAAAACAAAAAAAAATAAACTACATACATACATTTATCTTTTTATTTCTACTTAATGCATGTTTATAATGTTTTTAACTTTATAAAGTTTAATGAGAAAACCATAAAGTAAATTTAAATTACCTTTACTAGTGATTAATTAGATTCTTGAGGTTGATGCTGCGAGACTAAATAAATATTTGATATCTGGCTCGATTTTCGTAAGGAACAAACGAAAGTCTCCTCTTTCGGTGATATTCAGACGACTTCTCTGTTTGCGCATAATATGATTTCTCATCTGTGCGTCAGCTCCACTCCTCAATTCCCCTCCCCACCTTTTTTTTCCCTTTTTTATTTTTGAACCTTCCTTATAGCAATGCCCAGTAGGAATGCTGAGCTAGGTATCCCACTTACTATTACTTACTATAGCCCACTATAACAGATGGGCACACATACATACAGACACACACACAACACACATACAGATGGGCACACATACATACAGACACACACACAACACACATACAGATGGGCACACATACATACAGACACACACACAACACACATACAGATGGGCACACATACATACAGACACACACACAACACATACAGATGGGCACATACATACAGACACACACACACAACACACTTGCAGATGGGCACACATACATACAGACACACACACACAACACACATACAGATGGGCACACATACATACAGACACACACACACAACACACATACAGATGGGCACACATACATACAGACACACACACACAACACACATACAGATGGGCACACATACATACAGACACACACAC